ACCAAGAAAGAACCGCATCCTTATTCGAGTGTCGATAAAATATCGGACTATGGAAAATTCTACGAAAGGGATTCGTCGAAAAATTTTAACGATAATGATGATGATGATAAGAGAACGAAAAGCATGATGGAATTAAAAATGAAAAACGGTTTCGACGGTGATGAAAAAAGTGCAAAAGCTAAAATAAGAAGGTGGAAACATTTTATTGAAAGAAAAAGGAGGCCTTCTCTCCTACCGGAAGTTGAAAGCGCCATCGTCAAATCCGAATGTTTAGCTTTTTTAACGAAAAGTGAACTTAAGGATCGTCTTAATCAAACGAAAACAATGCACAGGGTAAGACTTGAAAATTTTCAATCGTTTGTCAGCTTTTCCAACGATGATACCGGATACAATAATACTAATTCAACACAATACTAATAATAATAATAATAATAAATTTTAATCGATTTTTTTTTTTTTTTTATTAAATAAAACTAACAATAATTATATACTAATCTCTACTGTTTTCTTATATGTCTTCTTACAAAAAAATCAGGTTTGTCACGTGTACGAGGTTACGTTCAAATATAACGTTCGGGTATACGAATCCGTTTAAATTTAAAACGCTTAGAAGTTATCATTATCATTATCATTATTATTATTATTTATCGGAAAATCAATTTAAAAAAAGTACGTTAGTGTATTTACTCTCTTTTAAAATGATGATTGAATTTAAAAAAAATTTTTTTCATTTTAAAGAAATAAAAATCAAATAAATTTTCTCACGTTTATATTTGAACTTTCCTCGTACCTGAAAGTAGTTATCATCAATTATTATCATTATTTTAAACGACGCTTTTAATTGGTGAATTTGGGGTGTGTGTTATATGTAATTATTATTATTATTAATAAAATTTGGTGATGATGAAAGGATAATTAATTAACAAAAAAATTACGCTTTTATACTAACAAAAGCATGAAAATGATGATGATAATAATAATAAAATGCCTAAAAATCTGTTTGTTTTCTTCGCTTTTTTTTTTTTTTGTTGCGTACCTGGCAGTTAAAAAATTTTACAAAAATAAATAAAAAAGGAAAATAAAAAATGTCGGGAAATTTATCATTTTTAGTTTTAATTTTTTACGTATGATTTTTAAAATGCCCTAATTAAAACGTTATCTATCTATTATCGTACGATTTAAATTTTCGTCATTAAAAAACCTGAAACCTAGTTTTCTTTCTGGAGGGAGGGGAGGGGAAGGGGGGATTTTAATGCGGGTAGAAAAATAATAAAAAATAAAAGACAAGAATTTTTTTTTTTCATTACAAAGATACTCATTTAAACATGGATACAGATTTTACTTTGTAAAGATTAAAATCGATCACATGATCGATCGATTTATTGATTTTTTATTTATAAATTTGATTGTCTTTAACATTACCCTCCCCTCCCCCCAAAAAAAATAAAAGAAAAAACAATTTTAAAAACTTTATAATTTTTTTTTTTTTCCAAATACCTAAACAGAAAAATTTTTTATAATTACTGAGTAAATTTTTTATAATTACTGACAAGGTTCAAAGGTTCAAGGTTTTCTTTTTTTTTTTTTTTTGGTTAATAATAAACCGGGTTCTAAATTAATATTATTATGTATTTATGTATTTATGTATTTAATTTTTTTTTACAGCTTATTGAAGCAAAAGTACATCGTCAAAGATCACTTCGTAAAGCAGATTCATTTGGATCAGTTGAAGATATTATCGATCGTTACAGCTCGACTTGCATATAAATATCATCATCATTATTATTATTATTATTATTACTATTATAATAATACATAAAAGGAAAAAAACAAACAAAGAAGGAAAACATTTCGTTTGCTTCTCCCATAAATGAAAGGCAGAGCCTGATTTATATTAACGGTTTTAGTGTCAAATGTTTAGAAAGGTTTAGTGTTATACATATATGTACATAAATATAAACATATATGTACATAAATATATGGATGTAATTTTATTTCGATTTTATTTTTATATACATATATATTTCAAACTTATTAAAAAAAAAAAAGAAGAAAAAAAATCGCACCAAAGAAAAAATAGAATTTTATAGAAAGTCGTTATGTTGTATGAAACAAACAAAAATAAATAAATAAATAAATTATTTAAGTAAGAAGAAGAATAAGGATGAGTCATCGCGATTCTATTAAAAATAAATAAATAAATAATACAAGTTTTTCATTTCATTTATAACTTTCTTTCTAGAAAGAAAAAGAATATTTGCAAAAAAAAAAAAAAAAAAAAAACTCGTCTTTTCATCTTCATCTTGTTAATACAAAAAAAAAAACCTGTATTGTAATTTTTTTTATATTTATTTTCATTCAAAAGTGAAATGAATACAAACGATTAAAAATTATTATTATTATTATTATTTATTGTACAGGTGCTACCTGAAAAAAATTATTTATGAAATTTTTTTTTTTTTAAAGGTAAAAATTTGTAAGGAAAATGTGTGGAAATTTTGTGTTTTATACAGTTTTCCTCAAAAAAAAATTTTTTTTTTTTTTTCTTATGGAAATAAATAAAAATTCAACTCTGAAATGAGTTAATAAGTTATTAATTAATTAAGTAATTAATTAGTTACCTACATAATTTTATTAAATTTTCCTTTTTTTTTTAATAAAGTAAATTTTTGTTATTTATTTATCAACAGTTGATAGTGAAATTAAAACTTGTTAATTTATGTAAGTTATTTAAAAAAAATCTTGTTTTAAGTTAATAAACCTGTCGAAATAATAATAATAATAATAATAATAATAATAATAATAATAATAATAATAAAAGTGTTATAGGGCCTATTTTGAAAATAAAAAATAAAAATAAATTTATTTGCCATAAATAAATAAATTATTTTATGTATATTGTAAGTAATATGACTATTGATTATTTAAATTTTTTTTGAAAAAAAATATCTAGTCATTCATTATACGAAAATAATAATAATAATAATAATAATATTGAATTTAATATATATAAAAATTGTTTTTTTTTTCGAATTGATTTTATTTGTTAAAATTTACATAATAATAATAATAATATTAATAATTGTAATTAAAATAATTGAGATATTTTAATTGAAATTTTTTTTTTTTTTTTTAAATTTTTTCTATTTGTTTCCTCTTGTTATTATTATTATTATTATCAATTGTTTAAAATAAAATTTGATATATATATTGTGTAAATATTGTTAAAAAGTGCCAAACATTTACATATATATATATATATATATATTTTGCAGTGGATAGAAATAAAAATAAATAAATAAATAAATAAAAATTATTAATTTGATTGTTTATACACTCCATAATTATTCAAAAAGTTTTTTTTTTTTGTAATTGTTTATTATTATTATTATTATTATTAGTGCCAAATGGAGTAAAATATATGTATAAATTGTTTGTTCGTTTGTTTGTTTGTTAGATAAAATATAATTATTATGAATTTATACTTATTTTGTTTTTTCAATGAGATTTTATATATAAATTTCTCAACGTAAAATTTATTTTTCATCACTTTAAATATAAGAAGAATAAGAAATTATTGATAATGTTATTGTAATTTTCTTTTTTTTAAAAAAAAAAAAAAGAATTTTTATAAATTAAATTGTCATTTGGTTTTTCTTGTAACTGAATAATTTAATAATAATAAATTTGAAAAAAATTTATGTTGTAAAAATAATTATATATATATATTTAGAGTCAATTATTTTGTTTTTTTTGTTGTTGTTATTAATTTTATGTTGTTGCTATTTAAAATTATTAATTTTTTTTTTTTGGTGAAATTTCAATGTTAAATTTATTAATAAAAAAAAAAAATTAGGATTTATAATGAAACCTTTATGGAAAGGATATTTATAAAAATTAAATTTAAATATTTGATTGTATTTTTTTGTATTCAAAAAATAAAAATTTAATTATATTTAATAATTATAATTAATAATTATTTTTAAAAAAAAAAACTTATAGAAATTTAAATTTTATTAAATAATATATAAAAATTTTATAAATTCTATTTTGAGCTTTTTTTTTTCGGATG